CGTGCGCCGATTTGGACAGTGGAAATACATATTCGCTTTGTTGACGCGATGGCATAAATGATTGTGTCCTATGGTAAAGCACACGGCATCCTTCATCCAAGGGGCTATCCGCAGCAATAGAGGCTAGCTGACCGGAAAGAGAGCCAGCTACCTCCATGAGCTGAGGCGGCTTTCCAGTACTCTCACCATCGATTAGCTGAAAGTAGCTGCGGCTTTGCACTGGGCGAAAGGCAGCTCCATATGGACCATTTTGAAAAACTGCCTTTTGGTCCACGAGAGCAGCAATGGATTCCAGCAGTTGCCGAATTCTCTTTCGGTTGACCAAGGGCATGAGTCTGGCCCTTATAGATGCCCTGGTCCAGAAGAAAAGCCGAGACCAGTCCCATCTATCTGTAAGTCTCGGGAAAAGAAAGTCAGCCTCCTGACCAAGGAGAAACCTACTTCGCCAGTACAACTGTGGGAGTGTATCGACAGTTGCAAGTAGAGCTAGATTCGACATACGAGTCTCATATTCAGGAGCTCATCAAAGGATAAATATGAAAGTATCTCAAACTCCAGCTCAGGCGAGAGTCCATCGAAGAAATCGTGCTTGGGTCTTTCCAGTTTTTTACACCTTTCTTCTCTCGTGCCATCAGGAAAAGGGAGTAGATGTCGGTCGTCATTGGATCCAAAGGGACTAGAGGCACAGGTTCCCCTTCATTGTAGTAGTCAATGCCCACCACGGTCGCAGTCGTCGGGCGGGCACCATCTCGCCCTTTCCAGAGCGAACCGTCCGGTGCCTTGCCGAAGCCAGAGGCAGTCGCTTTCAAGTCGTCCATGGAAGGAATCGCACAGGGGTCAGCGTAAAGTGTGAGCTCAGATCCACTGCCTTAGGCCGCCCGAACGATTTGTGTGTTTGCGCAGCCCCCTTAAGTCGTGACCAAATTGGAAACTGGAGGCTTCGAGACAAGGAGTGCAATAGAGTTGGTAGAAGACAGACTCTGCAATAGCCGTCTCATTCTGGAAGTAATCATCCTGTCCATGACCGAGCTAACGAAGTCCAACAGGCTGCAAGCTGGGGAGAGGCAATCTCCAGCACGAGTTGTGAAAGCCGAAGCACCAATAGCCTTCAGATGGTTCGCAAAGCCTCCATTCCTCCAGTCCCTCAGTTCCCACGTCGACATATGATAGATCGTTGCCAGGCGGTGCGTAGAGATTGTTCCGGCGGCGTACTATCCCTAGCCCAGTTATGGTGATATAGCCAAAAGCGGTATTGGTGTTGGTTGAGTAGATGCCTCGTACTTCTGCGTACCAGGGGCAAACGCCGGTCTGTAGAGATGCTGGGTCATCACTATAGGGATCGGGCAGCTGAATTACTCTACAGAAGGGGCAGTAAACGTTAGAAGGCATCGAGTTTAAGGTGTCCCGCGTTCCCGTCTCCCTGGTTGGAGTGGTTAGGTAAGGATAGCCTAGAGCTCGAGTGGTTTTAAAAAGGAATTTCACGAAGACTAGCAGTGATCTCAGCTGAGCAAGTTGATAGTTAAGCATTGAAGGTTGACAAAGCAAAGGAGTAACAGATATCACGCATGGAGTATAAGCTTCCACCAGTCTTTCGGGCCCGATCACTGCCAGACTTCCTAGGCAGCAATGCCTTAGTTAGTAGTTAACTAACGTAATCCACAAGTGAGCCCTGGACATCCCCCGGCGGCCATGTAAATATATATGTTACCAGCTAGCCAGGTAGATAGAGGACGGCAAGCCACTGGAGGTGACAGCTAGCTACGTCGGTACCCCTCATGAGATTATCCCTAACTAGTGCCTTCTAGGACAACATCACCAATTTTACTAGAGAATTAACACCTTCCAATGTAACAATACATGCATATATACATCTCCCTCCTACGGTGCTGTGTTGAACAAGTTCAATTCATTAGAACGTTTCCTCTTATTGTAGGCTATATGTAGAGAGAAAAAAGCCAAGCTAATACAGTGACGAGGAAACTCTGCCAGGCGGCTGTGTATAGGGCTGCTGGGCGGGAATAGCAGTGTGATAATGGACGACCGGCAGGATGTAAAGATTCACCTAGTGTGCCTTCTAGCCAACAGATAGTTAATATGAACGGGGAAAATACAATATGTCTGCCCTTAGTCCTGCATCAGTAAATAAATGAGTCAATGTAGCGGAAAGGAAACAACCTCACTATCGATGTTGATGTTAATAACTCCGGGTCTCTATATATAATGACCCACCAGATTATATCCAGTGTGTCTCATCTATAGTCGAAGGCTATGCTGGCTTGTACGTATAGCTTGCACCCGGCATTTTGTAGTGATGGCAAATATCCATGCTCCTCCCTGTTCACCCTGGTTTCCGGTGGGTGATTTGCAGCTCCCTATGATATGTCACGGTGGCTATTTATGTGCATCGTACTACTTGATGGTTGAGGGGGCCTTAAATTGGATATGAAAACACCAGGTCACCAGTTCCGTGTGCATTATGGCCGCGAATCATCTGTCCTTTATATATAAGTATCAAAAACACGGTGCGCACTGTGTTTTCCCCTAGGCCTGTACGATGCCAAACTAAGTATCGAAGTGCTATTACTAGGTGGTTTTAGCCTGTGCATTTAACTAAGGGCCTATCATTGGGCAGGCAAATACGAGTAAGGAATACAAGAGCGGCAGGAATGAGATCCAACTCTGAGATAGTCCAAGGGCTTCCTTGTGCTCCATGGTAATCCAACTACGACGGCTCGCTGCAACCTTGCTCTCTTGGTCGAAACATGATCTTTGTTGTCTCAGGTCGGTCGTGCAACTGTGGATCTATCTTGGTTGGTTGTCGTCAGGGAGCTTTGTTTTGATTGGAATGCTATGACCAAATTTATGAGGATATTACTTGGAAATACGTCTTATCTGCAGCTCCTACTAGTCTCGAGAGCTCACTTGGTAGGCTCTATGCGTTATTATAATGGGTGCTATTGTCTACACCGTATTAGGGTTTAGGCTTAAGGGTAATCCTTTTGGCGGTATAACTGTAGGAAGAAGAGCCTTAGTGCTAAAAGGATGTGTATTTCCCAAACACCACACAATATATACTTGTGGACATCCCAGTGGATGCTATGATGCACCACATCAATAATCAATGATTCGTTCCAAGTATTGATTATGACAGCCTTATTGAAGAGCGTGCCCGAGGTAATAAAATTAATCGGCAAATATGGCCCAAAAGATTGCTAAATTGAAAAGAAATTTGACCCTCCATGTTATCTACATTTACAGCTTAGCTCATGCACCAAGAATTGCTCATATAGCATTAACTTTTAAACATCCCATCGCAAGTCCAAGTGGCTTAGTGGTTGCCTTCGTGGTCTAGTTTGGTCATGACGTCGGTCTCATATCCTTTCATATGACATTCTTGGTAACAAGATTGACATCCGAAGGTCTCCAGTTCGATCCTGGACGAGGGCATATCTTTTTGCCTCTCGTATATAGACGAGTGGGTCATGCTCGACCAATGGACGGGTTGGGTTGGGTACAGGTTTTACAGCCTCCAAATATTCACAAGTTATAATACGAAGATACTTTAGCTCGTAGTCGCGAACTCGAACCGAGCTGAAATGGGTTGAAATGATGCCCATTTATTTTGGAATTTTTCCCGCCTTTTTCCTTTGTTTTAGAAAGAATGGCCAAGTATCAGTTTATATATAAATACGTACATTTACAACATTGTACAGTGGCGTTTCATTAATATTTAAACCCCACTACTTCCACCCTTGACCGCTATACATATACCGCCTCCCTATTCCTACTAGTGAACACGCCCCGCGCAGAGCGCGCGCAGCACGTAGTATACGCTAATTATAGAGGTTACTACCCCCTTTCGCTCTATTTTTACCATTCTATTTCTATCTCTATGATTATTAGTGACTATGTAGTTAAGGGTTTTGAATATGGAAGTTGTCTACCGGCAAAAAAAAGGTGGGTCTCGAGCCTAGCGAAGTACTGGGTTTAAATATTAATGAAACATGACTGTATGCAGACACCACAAAATTTAGGTGCAGTGGCTGGACATAAGTTTCTACTCTATGGTCCCCCATCACCGCCACTGGAGACTTTATACCGCCTACCTGAACGCGTAGTATAGAACCACACTAAACAGCACGCAATGTAAACCCAGGGTAGAGCATCTCCCTGAGATGATGCCGCACCCAGTAGAAGCTTTATTGAGAGTCAGGGGTGGTATATACCATACTAGATTCAATACTATGAGTTCATGAAGGCTTTTGACTGGCAGTATATTATATAATCAGGGTGGGGCCAGACACCGGACCTCGGGAGCCCTGGAGGAACTTATGTCCAGTCATTATACATACGAGGAAGGATGGCAACAGCCTCCAACAAATCCCAATATTTCAAAGTAAGCAACAGCTGACTATTATTCATAATAGAGGCTTTAAGCCCAAATATAATAGGGATTAAGATACCATCGATGCTAAATATATATGTACTCATTCAGTCTATGTATAGAATAGCTTTCGAATGTGTGTGAACTCCACACATTACATTACTTGGAAAGCCCTTGTGCCCGGTTCATAGAGTATGTAGTGACACCGCTATGTCGTCATAAGCCCAAGTGGCTTAGTGGTTGCCTTCGTGGTCTAGTTTGGTCATGACGTCGGTCTCATATCCTTTCATATGACACTCTTGGTAACAAGATTGACATCCGAAGGTCTCCAGTTCGATCCTGGACGAGGGCATT